AAAACAACATGCAGTGATGATCCCACTGATCTTATCCCTCAATTGTCCATGCATTGGCTGTTCTCCGTTACTTATGCCCCGCAGGTCTAGGCATATGACAACGGGGCCGCAGTCTTCCACAAACAAGTTCGCCACCATTGAAATCGAATCTCTGATCCTTACTTCAAGAGCTTGACTAGTGGATACTAGGGGCTACCCTTTTCAAGAGATGCCCCTATCGGCAACAACCAATGTGATTTAGCATCGTATCTTTTCTGCGTACCCACTTGCGGACACCTGTTTCCCCAGCGAGCGGTTCAGCTCCATAACGTTGGCTGCGCCAGAAAAGATCGCGTCTTGACGCTTCCAAACAGCAAACGGTGGGAGCTTGCTCCACAGGCCCTCTCCGCAAATGAGAATTCTGAATCTCATTGCTGTGAAATCTTCCTACGATTTTTCCTTAACCACCGGAGCCGTGGACAAGTGGTGGGTCTTGAAACCGCGACCCTACTCCCCTCCTCCGAAGCGGGCATGTCGTTGCTTGAGCACACAGCCCTCACCCGCATAAAGACGATGCCTGCCAACTTTGAACGCTAACCTCCGTGAAAATGTGCAGCGATGGCAGCGCTACAGCGCCTTTGGCTTCAGCTATCGCTTTACTTGCGCTTCTTCTACGGAGGCTGTCTCAACTTGGCAGGAGCTCATGTGGCAATGCTGAAAATGGAAGCATCTGAACAAATCTCCTGTCAACTTTCTTTGGTCCGGAGGCTCCTGGTGTGACCCACTTTCAGCAAGGGCCCCCGAATTATGCATCTGCCTAGTGCCTACGAGGTAGGCAGCTAGCAGCCTGGGAAGACCGACCGGGCCTCGGCTGTCAGTTGGACGCTTCCTACACATAGATTTTTGAACAATTGCAGGGACCAACTCGCAGAAACGTTGGGTGACCCACCGGTGCGAGGCAAGTAGCACTCAAAAAACTTGCGCCCGCTGGGGGGGGACGAAAGCTTTCAAGCAGGGTGCATACTAGCACGTGCATCATGAAGCGGCGGAGCGCGAACGGCCTCCGCGTGCTCAAGAACGGCTTCCAACGTGCCCAA